AGTTTGTTACCGAAGAAGACTGATGTAAAGATGCCTACAACATCGCCTGTGAATTAAGCAGGTTATTAAGCAGTAATAATTCATTCCATTAGTTTTATATCCCGCTTTACCTATCAGGTTGTGGATGGAAAGACTTAAATTAAACTTTTACAATGACCTTGGCCCGCTGCAAGCTCTGTAGCTTCAAGCTGCATCATCATAAACCAGAAGTCAGGTTTATACTATCTTTAATTGTGCCCTAATCGACAGTGGATCCACTGATAAACGTAGTTGGTAGAAAAGCACAAAAAAGTGGAGTGACACAGCCCACTTTTCCAATACATTCCTTCGACCAAGGTTCGAAAAAAGTGATCGAACCAATCAGTGATCGAGAAACACAAATCAGGTAAACATTAAAAACCTACCGCAGTCAACTCCACGATGTCTTCTTCAGTTATAGTTTCTTCCCCTTTAAATCTAGCGGCTGACTGCAAACAGTTAATTGCTCTTCTGAGGTCTCCTTCGCAAACCTTAATCAAAAGATCAATCGCGTCTTCGTCCACGGTTACGCCTTCCGCTTGACATATTTGCAGCAGTCTTAAAAAGCAATCAAAAACCATAAAACTGAAACGCTAGGAAAATTGTTCAATATGGCACTTAGTTGTAAAACACCACTATGATTATGTCATTTTGAGCCACACTTTTATTCCTCCTTCCGTTGCGTTTCAAGCCATTTTTCAGCCAATTTGACAAGGCATTGCAAGGCAAAGTACAAAGACTACTTGACAAAACCTACGGTTCAGTACGAAAACAGCTCATCTGCAACAACCTTTAAAACGAGTGACTAAACACCCGAAGCCAAACACCATACATCACGACGACATAGAACACGCAATGATTCAAGACGCTGGTTCTTATTCTACCTTGGTTTTGAAAACTTTCGTCATACCAGCAGTCGTCTCAATCAATCAGTTCGCTTCGATGATCACTTATTCTTTTGGGTCGAGCAAACAGACGCGTCAGACAATGCTGCCAACGTTCCTAAATCTGTCAGCGTTTGAAAATAACCTGCATCTTGAGCAGAATCTGTCGGGACACTTGCTTCAGGTCATTCTTGTCTCTACCTGGAGTGTTCGGTCGGTCGATTGGAAAAATAGTAACCGTTTTGCCTTCCATTCCGCAAGCACTCGCAATACGTCCCAAACCATTATAGCTGTGACCACTCAATCTGCAAAAGCAGTGGTTGTACCTCAAAGCGCTTTCTCGGACATCTGAAGATTGACCTACGTCGAGATGAATGAGTCCAGTGATTCGTCTGGGAAATCCCATTTCAGTTGCATGCACCCAGCATCAAAGTTTTGCAACTTCCGTGCCCTCATATACTAAAAGACTAATATTCTTTGCCCGCTGCTCTTCAAGTAAGTCTTCCTCGGGTTGCTAATGATTAAAAAGTTCTTCAAAATACCCTATCTGTCGCTGAAGTATATCTTCTTCCACGATAAGCAGATATCCAGACGTTCCCAGAACTCTCAGACAATCCTTCATTCCATCTCAGGCGATAAACGGTCTGCTAGAGCACAACGTTTGCCGTCTAAAATGTCGACTTCGGCGCTTCATATGAATACGTCAGTGATATGTCAAGAATGTACTACAGCACGGATCCCAGCATCTATGGATTATTACTGCAAATCAAAAACTAAATTCAGCTACTAAAACTAAATTCATGCCGTTTTGCTGCACGGAAGGCCTGGCAAAACAAGATTGTCATCGGGTTTTTTCATTCAAAGCAGAACCTCGTTGCTGCTCATCTGGTGGTAACTCTGAGGCTAACTACAAGCCACAGTCAGTCGAACCAGCAGTACCAGTATCACCACTGGCAGCAATACTAGTTGTAGTATCATTGCTTGTAGCGGCATTATTACTGAAACTCACACCACTGATTATTCAACTGATGGTTCTAGTAGCATCGCTTTCGAGTTTCTTCTAAGAAACAGTGCTGACCCTGATAAAGACGAAGGTCTTATTCTAAAGGGAACGCACAGTTCGACATTTATAACTATATATCTTATTGATCTGAAGTATGTCGATGACATTGCCCTTCTGCGTAAAACAGACAGCGAGATTCGTTACGTGAAGGAATCCGTACGCAACACAGATGTGAAAGTTCAGTCTCCATCTTAACGCTCAGAAGTCAAAAGTTTCGAAAAAGCTATTAGACATGGTTGATCTACTGATGGAACAGAGGGAATAGAGATGGGAAGCCATAGAGGAAGTCGACAAATGTAAGTATTTTGACTCAATCATCTTCAGCTAAGGCATCCTCCGACCAGGTCGCTACAAAGATGAAGAAACCTATCGCTGCAAGATATAAAAACGATACAATAAAACTAAGAAACGATTATACCTCTCTTTTTGAGATTCGTCGCTAAGTGGCTTGAAGCAAAACTTCGCGCAGCGTGACGCGATAGGGCCAATTATGCGACTGATGTAATTGCATATGATACAAAAGCGGGTGGTTCGAGAGTCGCTTTCCATGGTTCGACGCAAAGCATGCTGAAATAAAATGATATTAAGAAACATGGTTGCTGGGGCTTCACGAAAGTTAGGCGAGTCTGAGCAAATGAAGTGCTGAATAACCATGGAAGTCATTAAACTTCATACTGTATATGTGAATGATTTATTATGAAACCAAATGCAGTCGCTTTCATTTAGTTTCTGAAACTGTGTTTTCTTAATTTTTACCCATCCAGATGTGCCTATTGGAATCTGACCGGGTAGACATACAGCAGTGAATACAGACAACAACGGAGGGGTATGTAAACTTTATTTCGATAGGAAGCCATAACAATAATTAAGGATAACAACGAGCAGTTTCTAACACGAAGAATTCATCCGTAAAACCATAATATTCTTAATTAGAAAGGTACTTACTTTTAATCAAAATGGAGAAGACTATAAGCTAAAGCCTACCTGGGCTGCAGAAGTCATTGAATCAGCTTCGTCGAGGATGACGATCTTTAGAGGGGGACATTTCTTTCCACCCGGACGACGGTCAGAAGCCGTAAACTGAGAGAATTGTTTCACCTTTTCTCTGACCACTTGAATGCCACGGTCGTCGCTTGCGTTCAATTCCAAAACGCGTTCGCGATACATGTCCAACCTAAGAAGACCAAGAATTGTGCAGGAATGAAGAAGAGCACACGGCTCTTACCCGAAAATTTCTTTTACCATTGCAAGTATAGCAGACGTTTTGCCGGTTCCCGGCGGTCCGTAAAACAACATGTTTGGAAGCTAGAAAAGCAATGTAAAAATAAATTAAACGATTTTAACATAATTACGTCTGTCGATGTGACGAATTTCTTCAGAACCGAAACAACTTCAGTTTGAAACGAGATTTCGTCAACGGTCCTTGGACGACTGAAAAACATCATCATTTGGAATAGCTAGCAATTAAAACAACCTGTTTCGCTTAGTTTATTTAAATTCTATTTAATGTCGTTTGAAATATTATCATTTACAAGCTATTCTATAGATATACCCCATATACAGTATATCTTATGTCATGTAAAACATGATACAAATATTTTTTATGGAATCAAATAATTGAACGATGTGTTTCAGAAACGCTGCTCCGTGAAATCCAGTAAAATAGCGGGACCTACCGCAGCTTTTCACTATCTTTCATGCGGCTGGTGTCAAAATCGACGAGATTTAGAATATGCTGTTGTCACTCTTCAACAGCTCATATCCATGTTACACGTCGTAATGTGCGTACGATGATCCTCAATTTTCCAAATCCATCGGCATGGGGCGACCTGAATCCATGATTTTTTAGTTTCATAGCTTCACGTAGGCAACCAATATAGCGTGTAGTATAATCCACTTCCTTGCCGCAAAAACACGTTAGTTTTCCATTTGTACTGAGAAACGACGACTGGCACATCAGAAATTCAAACCAACGATCTTATAACTTCTACCTACACCTCTAACGACTGAGTCGCGTTGACCCTTTAAGAGATAAGTTAAGCATATCCTAAATATAATCAATTACGCTGTTTTGTGAAATATTTAATTTATTTCATTATCATTTATCTGTTATAAGTTATTTAACCCTTCACCGGGATAATCGTCATGACAAGGTTTGTTCTGCCTTACAATATGACCCTATGAATTTACTCAACTTTACCTACAATCAGTAATTACTTATACCTAGAATATAAAATCATTCACTAGCTTATGCAACAAATGGAGTTTTGGCATTTAACATGTCACTTGACAAACGGTGCGAAAACAACCAACTGAAGGTATGCGAATAACAAATATGCACAAGTATGTAAGAATTTTATGAATATGAAAAATCACACAAATAAAAACGATGGCCTCAGAGACTCTGCGCTGTCAGAGGATTGATAAATAATCTGCTTCAATGGACATATGGTCAAGAAACGATCAGTGACGGTCGGCTTCCAATACTGGCATCCACTAAGTTTCGGTTGATGCTGGAAGAAGCGCTTATGGTGATTTAGAAACTAGCCTTTTCGATCAATAATGTTATAAATTTTTATACAAAGGACGAGCAAGATTAAAATGAATTTTCTAGTCATACATATTATGAAAATCGTGTTTAGATTTGTCATTCGTATCATCAGTGTCCATGCCGCTGATTATGATGCAGCAATGGGGCAGAAGTCTAGTTTCTACAGAATGATGAACATTAAGATTTAGAATGATTCCGCAGCGCCTCTTTTATTCTGGGAGATATCGTAGAGCAAACTGAGGTTAGACAAAAAGCAGAAACAAAATAAAATGGAACTGAGTTCTTCTGAATAATATTTTACCACAACCGCTTAGACGCAATCAGACTCAACGGTGAAATATATGTTTTTGTCTTAAGGCACCGACTACTGATGCGTAGAAGGAAATATTACCTCTGAAAGCAGATCTGTATATAACTTGGATCTCCAATTTGAATGTTGGCATTACCGGCTGAAGTCTGCCGATTTTCGGTTCCCACTGGAGAAGCTGGCGAGCTGGAGTAATTTTTTTTTGCTAAACTAGTTTGTCTAACAGGATTAACCTCACTTTTTTAATATCCACATCTACTGAGGTCATCATTGCTAAGGAGAGAACTGAGCCATTCATCAGGTGAATTCTGCCATCTAGCCCTCATTATGGGTCTAAGTCAACGCTGCTGCTTATAGCTAAACCGTCTTCCTCACTCCTTATTTACAACAACTGTCTCCAGACAGTACAACAGTGCTGACCTGACAGAGGCAAGGTAGAGGCGGAGTTTGTTTTGGAAAGGGCTACCTCCTAATCAGCCCTCTGTTAGAGGCGAGATGAGGCTATTTCTGATAGGCGTTGCCAAGGTCAACAGTTGTCAAATAAGTAAACGCTTCCTTCGGCTCTGCAAATAAGTAAATTCTTATAGAACTACGGTGGTTTCACGTTCAAAAGGAAGAAAGACGTTATTGAGAAATGTCAATTCAAACGATGTCATAGAAGCAATGCACCAATATGAAACAATGCACCAATAGAAGCATACAAGCAATGCACTAATTAACGACGTGACACAGTGCCACAAATGCTTTGATATTTTATATACCAACTCATTCGTATACTCTCTCAATCTCAAATACAAAATTTATACATAATATGGAGAAAAATGAACAAATTCTTAATAATCAAAACCAAAGGTCGCTTACTACTTTTCGACCCAAGGAAGAGTGTCTTGATTGCCCTTTTCAGCATGACCAGTGAGACTAGTTTTATCTCCAGCCTTTTGCTTCGTTATGCCAAGAAACGCATCCATCGTCTGAAACTTCATCGTTTTAAAGGTTAATAAATACAAATAATTCATACTAATTAAAATTTTGTATTCTTGATCTTCTCACAAAGGTTAATTAAAATTAGGTCAGAATCATATTCATAATTATTACATGTCGAAAATGTGCCTTTAGCAAACAGGATAACATTCCTGAATCGCGTGCAGTTTGCCGATGATAATTTCCAAGATGCAGGTAATAAGTTTACTGCTAAATACGGTGAGAGGGGAATGGAGATCAGCCTGACGAAAATCGAGGCTTTCATGCAATAGAGAAAGGTCATTCAGTGTGCTGCGCAGAATTAGTTAAGCGCAACTGAGCCAAGAAGGAACGTTCAAGCACCTCCTGCCAGCATTCACACCTGACGGCAAGCAAGGAGGAAAAATAGACTTACGTAATGGACAGACGAGAGATGAAATGCCAAAGCTAAACTGGTTTGTTCTGATGAAGATGATGAGCAGTAACCGAAGCTATCTGCCTTCAAGGTTACGCACTTGCCCTCAAATATGATAATCAGACCTGAAAAACCGAAAAACTGCGATCTCAAATATACATGGCAGATGGAGATCCATTCGAAAGAATGGTGGTAATACGAGGCTCAAAAAATTTAGACGTTCTATGGATTAAGCAACCACGGTCTACTGAACAAATCTATCAGACAATAATGACATAACCAACAACAATGGTTAAAATATCCACAGTTTCTGCTAATTTTTAGTCAGCTATAAGGTAGGTCAAAGCGAACTGCAGTCGTAAGGTGCATGCATCAGATAGCATATTCTATACATTTCGCATGTTCAGCCATGAACACACTAGAACGAAATGGTGTTTCCGTTATTCACAAACCATCTAGTTGTACAGCGATCAAGCGAATTCGTTACTCAATAGGATTCAAATCCTGCGCCTCAACAATGCAAAGCCACCTATTCACCATTGGGTCAGTCACATCGAACTATCGCTGTGAACATTCCATCATACGCATTAAACATAGAAACAGGTAAAGCTGATTTTGCATATTTGATAGACTGCTTCCTTTTTTTTCATCAATTTAAGACATACGCCGTGAAGATTCGACCACAACAAAGAACATAATATTCATTCTTAAAGAATAATCAAATATTCCAACAGTGGCGGGAATGAAACAGTACGTTAGAACAGACCTTCAAGTAATATCACTTAATAACCGGCGCCGACATATTGCTGCTACTTTATGGACTGAGAAAACTATCAGCAAAAACAGTTTACAGCTTGAGTTCTAACACGAAGAATGTTACGTTTCAGCAAAAAAGTAGCGCTATCAAAGCCGATCAGTGTTACGTGGTAAATATCAGAATCTAGAAGCTTTACGGAAATCGTGCGTCCTATGATCGGCCTTTCATGGCGAACATGAAAGAACCATAATCATTGTTCAGTGGACACTACCGCCGTTGTATTGCCCAAAAAATTTTTTATTCCAGCGTGTAGTAGAAGATCACATAAAATACTGTTTAGTAAGCATACAACCCAACCTAAGTTGTCATATCCAGGTTTAGATTCATTTGTTTGGTCAAAAGCGAAACGGCGCCTTTGAAAAGCCGATGTTTACCAACCCGTTCCTCACCTATTAAATCTTGGCTTGATTGGTACTCGTTCACAGAGTAAACAAGACGATTTCTTATGGCAAGTCAGATAAAGTTATTAATGCAGTTAAGTTCTTAACCTCTTCCAACCAAATAATTCATTAAATTGAGTGGAACAGAAGTTTCAACAGAGCCTAGTCATGAAAATCCCTATCGAGCTACTGTGTACTACAACAGATTTTTACTTTCTTCATTTAGAAGATGTAGCGTAGATGAAAACCAAGACAAATTTACCTTCTGAAAGTTCAATGATCTGTAAAATGAGTCATGTGGCATTGTGAGGCTTCTATGGAGCAGAGCGAATAGAACTAAGAAAGAAACAGAGCTTGAACTAGACAAACATTCTGTCAAATGCAAGGGTATAATGTTAAGCAATCAAGGTTCCAACGTGAGAACGAAAAAATTCTGAAAACATGCACAACTGAACGGACGGCGTATTAGATAAAAGAAAAAATGAAAGCGCTAGAGAAAACTGCATTATCTTTCATTTTAGCACATCTGGCAGGCTTTTTCCTAGGTGCATACATCATACAGTTCAATAATCATTGCATTTACTATAATTCCATTCCGAACTGGACAGTAGTACACTGATTACTAGGTCAATAATCTATTTTGGCAGCAAATCAAATCAAAATATATTCTTGCTATTAACAATTTTTGAAAGGCAACTTTATAAAGATTTGTACTTGAATTAATTATTTATGAAACTTAAATTCAAACCACTGTCTTCTTTCGCATAAAACTTCCTCAGAAGACACACCATACAACTTAACAACTATTAGAGCACTTCCAAAAATGGAGTATTTGTGTTAACAGACACACCTGCAAAAAACGCGCCATTTTTACCAGCGAAAGAGATTTATTTTTATCGTTAAAGTGTCGATGAAAGTTTGATAAAATGGTCATTTATTTCTAACCTCTTGGTAAATCTAGTCGACGAAGGCAGCTTGCGGTTAAATGTAAAACGACAGGTAAATAGCAATTATACCT